ACATTGGATGTCGTAAGTCGAATAATGAACTGTGATTGGTCAATTCCTTCCGACACGACTTACGACATCCAAATGTAGACCCAGCCTTACTGACTTTACTGGCGTGCGAAAAACGCAGCACCAGTAATTTTCATTGCTACCAACTATACTGTTTTCACTGGCAGTAACTGAATCCATTTTCGAACACATCCTTAGCGTCAAATATAGTCACGTGACTAAATTTACCGCTCGCCTAGGGAAGGAGAAGTAGTTGCAAAATATGAACGTCGTGAAACCACCGCTGGCTGCGTTCAAAAACACTACCCGAGTACCCCAGAGTATCATTTTATCCTTGTTTAACATACGGTGAGCAACAAGGATAGAATGGCCCCGTTCAGCAGACAACTGTTGAGTGAGCGCTCAGTATGATTGGTTAACACTTTTAGATCCTTAATATGATTGGCTGGATCTAAAAGTATTAACCAATCATACTGAGCGCTCACTCAACAGTTGTGTCTGCTGAACGCGGCCAATAATACGCGGGGTACTCAGGTGGTGTTTCTGAACGCAGTCGCATGGGTGCTTTCGCGACGTAGGTCAAAATGATCCGGATCAAAATGATTCGTGCTATGATTGGTCAAATCTGGAATTTCATTGAATAAAATTTCAATGTGATGCTACGAAATTTCAGATTTGACCAATCATAGCACGGATCATTTTGACCTACGTCGCGAAAGCACCCCTTGCGACACCCATGGTTTTCCAGAGACTCCAGCAGGCTCTTTTTAAAGGGATTATTAAATGGTCTACTTATCGTTAACAAAAAAATAATATAACGTAAAAAATATGAATATATTTATTGCGAAAGTAACAGCGATTACAATTACAATCATTTACGATACAATGGTGGATAACGACGGGAAAGGATTTTGTTTAGATATAACTAATTTTTTGTGCTGATAAGATATGTAGCCTTTAATCTTGCCTTCGTATATCAAATTGGCGAGAAGACACTCTGTCTCGTCCATGTCTATATCCTCCATTCCGTACATCTGTAGTGCCACGAGCAAACTCAGCACTGGTATCTGATGCGTGTTCAACGCTAGGTACACTTTCTTGAACAGATTTCTGTACGCGATTAGCTTCAGCTTCTCCACAATCAGATATATGCCGGCATCTATAAAGAAGGTCTCGTGCTTCGCCATTACTCCCTCCAAGGAGCGCAAATCTCCTTTTCTCACGGATTCCTTCAGCTCCCAAAACTCCATTAAATTATATTTCTCCAAGAGACTCTTCTTGGGCATGTATCCCAGTAACATCTTCACAGGTACCAGATAAGTCAGGATCAATCTCTTATTTTTCGAACACTGTACGTGACAATGCTCAAATGCGTAAGTCAAATACTCGTCGGCTGAAACAATTTGGCAGCATGTTACTTATAGAATTCGGTTGCTTGCACCAAGTGCACACTAAGGCTTGCTTACAGTCAATTCTTATATTTAAGGATCGTCTTAAATGTCTCTTAAAATATTTCTTAGCTAGTTTTTGAACACATATTTGAGACAAACTTGAATATAAAAATTAATTATAAACTAACTTTAGGCCTAGTTTCACCAAACGTCATTTAACATTAATCTCATTTTAATTCGTGTTTGTCTCTTTCTAACGTAACAGTTGGCAAGGGACAAAGAACGAATTAAACTAAACTTAAAGTTAAGCAACATAGATGCAACCGGGCCTCAGGGTGCATTCAATGCACAAGCAACCGAATTCGCTATTAGACAAAAGCAGGCAATTGCTATAATTTGAGAGAAATGGAAAGTTAAATTTACCGATCTTGTAGTCGCTGTCGAACATCGCTTTCCGACCGACGAAAAACTTGTATGTGATCTGCTGTGCCAATGCAAAGTGGTCCTTAAACGGGGAAGATTCTATGGCCCGTATCAGAGGTTTGCACAAGTGCAGTTTGTTAATTCTGAAATACACCTTGAGTAACTGATTGATCAGGGCTAACATCCCCCATCGCTTTGTGTCCTCCTCCGAACTTCTGCTATCAGCTGCGCAAACCCGGAAGCAGGCCATCAAGCATTCGGCGCACTTCTCCAGGACCTCGCCAGGCTTTACGTTTTTGTTGCTCTTGGAATTTTCTGCACCTATCGCCGACAATCTCAGTTCCAGGCACATCACGTTCATTACCGGCAACATCCAGTTCTCCTCCTTCTGCATTTGCAAAATCTTTGCGAGACACTGCACAGCCGAACTTTGATAATTGTACATGGCCAAAGGATCGTTCTTGTTCATAGTAGATACGGCTCTGCAGGGGGGAGATGAAAAATATTGATTGGACGTCAAATGCGTCATCCGGCGTCTGAATAAATTACGAAACAGATGTATCCTTACTTCAAGTGGCAAAGCACCAGGTCGTCTAATGGTGCGGATAAGTGTTCCATGGCCTTGTTTATAGCAGTTTCTGATCCAATTTGAGGTATCGAAACGTGACTGTGTCGTAGAGACAAGAGATCCTACGAGGAAACGATTATTTGCACAATCGATATAAACTTTGATTGACAAGATATATTTATTTACCGCCAACGCATCCCCGTCCTGGTTGAGCCACACTCGCCGAATCTGCGAAACGAAGAAGTGAAAAAGTAATAACTTTAATATTGTACAATACTACGCTGTGACTATACTCTCTACCTGCATTATATAAGAATCCATTTCACGTGTAAAATATAATGTAAAATATAAATAGCGACTCTTCGAAGACACGCGAATTAATCAAATGATAAAATTATTTTGGAAACACATGGACGCGTCGTGCTTGTCATATAAACTTGCATTTGGATTGCACATGCGCGCGCGAGTTACTAGATTACTAGAAATACCCTATTCCCGATAGTTAAGCCCATGAAGTAAGAGTAAGGAGACGTATCTTGATAGGTGTAGAGCGGAAAAAGTGGTCACGAAAAATGTTCCGTATGTGGCCAGGTTCGTCGAACGGAATGACTTGGGATGTGTTCGAAAATGGATTTAGTTACTGCCAGCAGAGAGAAGCCTGAAGGTGCCTTTTCATACGCAGCATGCAGCAGCAGCAAATTAGTCACGTGATCCAAATTCACTAAAGCATATTTGCTGCTCATGGAAAAGGAATAGCTGCAGCAGCACTGTCCGGCTAGATCGCGTGTCTGCTGCTTTGCTGTTCGTTCAATTGAACTTCACAGCGATGAAGCAAAATATGGTGAAATTTATTTTGCAGCATCTAGTAACAATTCTTCAACCAATAGCAGCGAGTTGCTGCGGCAGTATGCTGCGCATGAAATGGTACCTTGAGAGATGTCACGGCCCCGTTTTTCGTGATACGCGAATGCGATA